TATCTTTGAGATGGTAATTTCATTTCCCCTGGATGTCTACCCAGTGATGAAGTTGCTGGATCATATAATTGTTTAAATGTTAATTATTTGGGGGACCGTTTATATTATTTCACACAATAATATCTATATTAATTACATTACTTACCAGTATTATGGTTATTGCTTTCTGACAACAGCCTTTCTCAGGGGCGTAAAGTAGCATCTCATTGTGGTTTTGACTTGTATTTTAATTTATAGAAGAATTGTAACATCGAGATAATTCTGATTTTACTGTTAGAACCTATGATTTTGGAGTTCAGGTCTTTTGAAATTTTTAGCATTTTAAGCATTTTTATCTGTATAGGGGTTAGAATAAAGTGAATTTAGTATGGAACATGTTTGAAGGAGTCGTATCAGTACCAGATTGACAGTTTAAGGGAAATGACTTTACCTGTCCCCTTAAAGTCAATCATTGCTTAGAGTTGAGCAGAATAACATGTGCAAAGTTAATCCCATTATTCTAGAATTATCAATGTGAGATTAGTTTTATACATTTTGGAAACTAAGTTTATTGTGAGAAATAATGAATAGGGTCATGGATTATATTAGTGATTTACTATGTGGCTACAACTGGTTGACTAAAGGGAAAAATTTATTATTTTAATTATAGAGGAAGAATGACAACTTGCTTTATACATTTGGAAGTCTGTGATGGAAAGCACTGTTTTATCTGATACCTAGAGTAAAATCATCTTTTTTAAAAATAAATTTGGCACAAGAGAATGAATTCTGACAAGATTAGCATTGACTAAGGCATATACTGGTGAATGTTACAGCTCAGAAATGACATTTAGCTTAGTTTCATTTTTAAAAGATGGTCTAAACCTACTTATGAATAAATTTAATCTAAAAGGTGATGGTTCTGAACATTAAGAATTATAAGACAATTATAGAAGTAATAGTATATAACAAAAACAGATACATCATGCTCATGGCTTAGAATAATTAGTTAAAATCTCCATCATATTCAGAGCAAAGTGAAGATCTGAAGCAAAATCCCATTTACATTCTTCATAGACACAAACAAACAAATTCTAAAATACATATGAGATCACAAAAATCAATAAACCAAAGCAATTTTGAGAAAGAATAAAAAGTTGAAAGCATCATACTTTCTGATTTTAGGCCACATTGCAAAGCAACAGTAATCAAAATTGCATGGTGCTGGTATAAATCATATATATAAGAGTGAAACAACAAACAAACAAAAAATAGATTATCAGGAAATAAAATCAAATATGCATAACTAATCATTGACATGACACCTAAAGATCACAGTGGAGAAAGAATAATCTCTTCAATAAATGTTGCTGAGAAATCAGACTGTCATAAATAAAGAATGAAACTAGACCTTTATCTGCTACCACAAACAAAAATAAACTCAAAATTGATAAAAAGGTCCAGATGTGTTATGAAATCATAAAAATTCTACAAGAGAATATTCCAGAGATTCCATCAAATAGATCTTAGTGTCAAACACAAAGCAAGGAAATTGAATTTATTTATTTTTTACATGATCACAATGGAAATAAACTAAAAATCACCATCAGGATAAATTATAGAAAATGAAATGTTAAGATTGTACACACACTACTGAATGATAAAGAGTCATCAAGGTAACTAGGAGGAAAATTTAAAATCCCTAGAATGAAATCATGATGAAACACAACTTACCAGAACCCATGGGACACAATAGTAATCTTAAGAGGGAAGCTTACAGCTATAGATGCTTACTTTAAAAAAAAAATAGAGAGAACACAAATAAAAATGATACATCTAAAGGTCATAGGAAAACAGGAAGCCAAATCCTAAGTCAATAGAAAGAAAGAAATAAGAAAAATCCAGGGGAATGAACAGAGCAGAAATGGAAAGAACTGTACACAGATTCAATGGGATAGTTGATTCTTTGAAAAGACAAAAGCTGACAAAAGCTTAACTGAACTAACCAAAAGAAAGAAAATGAATGCTAAAATTGCTACATTAGAGATGAAAAGGGAGACACCACAACAGATATCAATGCAATTCACAAGACCTTTAGGACATACTTAGAAAGTGCATATTCCAACAAACTAAAAAATGTATATGAAATGGACAACTTCCTAGACACATACGACCTAACAAAATGTAATCAAGGAGATATAAGCAATAAGCAATTGTGTAGTAGTGAGCTTAAAGCACTAATAAGATAGTGTCTTAAGAAAGAAAAGCCCAGGATTGGATAAATTCATTGTCAAATTTTAGCCAATTGTTAAAGAAGAGCTAATACTATGTTCCTCAAACTCTTCCATAAGATAGAAAAAGAAGGAATGCTACCTGACTCACTCTATAAAGCCAGTATTGCCCTGATACCAATGCCAGATAAAAGGACAACAAGAAAGAAACACACACATAAATATTCTCAATGAAACACTGGCAAACAGATTTGTGAAGTGTTTATTTTCTTAAATGTTGCATAATAAAATTAATTTAGAGCTATACAAATTTAAGACACTCACAGATTCTTTGTTAAGACTGCCATTATTTTAATGTGTGCTATTGTGCTTACTAACTCCTAGGAGAATAGCATTTTTTTTTAAGTAACAGCTGACAAATTCACATTCAAGGATGACTTGAAGTCAGTAATTTATAGAAATTCTGTCTCTGTAACAAGATAATAGTCAGGGACAGATTTAATTAATGTCTGGATTCCCTCAATGCCTTCTGGGATAATGTCAAAGAACTTATGGTAAGACTGTGGGTTGTCTGGGTGTCTACACTCCATGTACTAGGAAGATATTTCTAAGCATCAGTGGAGACTGGAGAATAGGAGCTTATTGAAGACTCTTGTGGCCTCTTTCTTGGGAACGAAAAGAAGTAGTGAAGTAGTGTACTTTGTCAGTTAATTTCAGTGTTGCACTAGAAGGAAGGAAATTCTATGTGAAGGAACATAGCCCAGATTAAGACTTGGTTCTCTCCAGCATGCATTACTAAGAACAATAGCTCAAGACACTGGAATTAAGCTACAGGAGTACGCTGAAGAGAAGAGTAGTCAAAGGTGAGTGGAATTTCAACACCTAAAAAGTATTTCTTCCAAGTGTGTGTGTGTGTGTGTGTGTGTGTGTGTGTGTGTGTGTGTGTGTGTGTGTGTGTAGATGAGTGCAGGTACCCACTGAGGCCAGAGATGTGGCAGTTGTGAGCTGCCCTATGCTGGTACTGGGAACTAAACTTGGGTCCTTTCTCTGCAAGTGAAGTACATACTCTAAATCACTGAGCAATCTCTCTAGACTCTGGACTTGAACTTCTAACAAGAGAAAAATGGGAAAGAATTTTATGTGCTGTTGGATAAAATAGGTTCATTAGAGTTGTACACACAGCAAGGTCCTCATTCTTGAGAGTGCAGAAGGACCTCAGATGAGCTGTGGTTGAGGAATGGGAGCACACTGTTCCTTAGACCATTGTTAACTGTGTGACAGGATCCCCAAATTCCTTTATTTTCTAACCCCAGTTACCAAGATAGGGTCCTGTAGGAATTAGGCCATGAATAAAATATCACTTTGTTTTAAATAAAAGGCCATTCCAGAGCTACTTGAAGTGGCCTTCTGTATTATAAAAAGTGCAGAAATCAAATATGTTGAGGTAGTTTGATATCATCAAAGGTATTCAGAATTCAAAATTTAAAAGTTCCTTCTGCCAGGCTAGAGAGATGCCTCAGCAGCTAAGAACACTGGCTGATCTTATACAGGACCCAGGTTCGATTCCCAGCATCCATGTTGAGGCTCACAACCATGTGTAACTACTGGTTGGGCAACAGTCACTGTCCTCTGGCCTCTGTGGCACTTGGTACATATACATACAGAACACAGACATATATGCAGGCAAAATACTCATACACATAAAATACAATAAGGAAATATAAAAATAAATAATAAAGCCCTCATTCTTCCTTAGAAACTCCAGTATCATATTGATTTTTGAATTTTCTTTCCCTATAGCTTTTTCCCTGATGATTTTGGGCAGAAAATATTAGTAGCTTTTTAATCCTCTCTATATATTTATTATTCCTCTGTTTGTACTAGACCCTGTACAGAAGTCTCAAAAAATGTACCCAAATCCACTTCTCCTCCCACATTTATCACCCCACTTTCCATGTAGTGACTCAACTCCTACTTGTCTGAATTGTTGATATTGGCGCTCTTCATAGGTTTTAAGTAGGATATTTTCTTCTGATGGAAAAGAAGACAGACAAGAGTAGCCTAATTTAATGGTGAGTTTCCTGAAATGGTAACTTGCCTTTGTAATATGAAGAGATCACACAATTTTTCAAAAACAGTTGCAGAGAACAGACCACATCCCAACTCAATCTAATGAGGCTAATATTACTGTGGTATTAAAAGAAAACAAAGGTTGTAGGAAAACTTCAAGCTTGTATCTCTTATGAAAATTCTTAGCAAAATAATATAAATGAAACCGGCCTCATAGGAAAAGTATTCCACAGTATGACCATAGGGAATTTTTGCCAAGTGAGCAAGGTTAGTTCAGCATGCAGCAATCAAAGTTACATGCCATCTTTATAAAATAAAGAATGATAACATGACAACCTCAATATGTTGAGAAAAATCATTTTTGAAAACTTAAAATTCTTACATGATAAAAGCATCTTTAAAAACTAATCATTGGAGTTTAATATCTCACTAAATGGTGAGATCCTGACAACTTTCTCTTGTAGTTAGGAAGAAAGCAATGATGTCATTTCTCACCACTGTTCAGCATCACTCCAGCAGTTCTCCCAAAGAGAAACGGCAGATAATAAATCTAAGTAGATCAAAGGCATTGACTTTGGGAATGAAGACCTAAACTTTTCCATATTCAGATGACATCATACTATCTATAGAAAATCCCAAGCATTTTACACACACACACACACACACACACACACACACACACACACACACTCAACAACAACAAAAAGCATCAATACTCACCTTTACTTTTTACTGTTGTCGGTGAATTAAATGCTGGTACCGGAGTTGTTTTGGATAATTCATCACTGGCTGTGCCTAGTTTGATAAGACAGATGATATTATTACTATTATTAATCACAATCTCACCTCATCTGCCAAGGAATGACTAAAAGTCAAGTTTAGAAATGATCTGCAATAAATCTACAGATGTACTAAGTAACCCTTTTATTGTTTTCCAGCTCGTTCTGTCTAAAGAGGAATACAAGTATTGAATTATTGAATGACTGATTTAAAAACACACACACACACACACACACACACACACACACACACACACACAGTATAAGTGATCCAAACACCACATTTTTATTGCAGGTTATTACTTGGTTATCATTAAACATGCAAAAAAAGTATTACAAAAACTAAATTTTAGCGATAAAAATCACTTTATTTTTTTCCTGTGGGAAAAAAGATCCAGTCAAATAGAATCATGAAATGTAACTTTTATTTCAGAATTATATTTCATTTCCTTAACTTAGTCATTCATGGTAATAAAAATTCTATAAAAACCAGACATGGAGGAACTTGAAAACTTCTAAAATTAATCTGCTCATTCATTAGATGGTCTTTGAATACTTCAGAAATCCAAATAGTTTTAACTCCTAGTATGGCATGCATGTATGAAGCAAGATTGTAATGCATTTCCCAGTAAACATGGGGCCTTATTCCTGAATACTAAAGAGCATTGGAAAGTTTGTTGAGAAAGAAGCAAATGTTACTGGAGAGTAACTGTCAAAATCATGAGCTGTGTCGACTGCATAAGATACACCATAGTCCTTTGCAGATCTTCATGTCCTTGTACTTTATTAAAAGAATATTTATTAAAAGCTACAAATTATTCCTGAAATTGCCTAGAGCAAAAAGATGCTTAAAGTTGGATATTGCCCACAAAGTCTTGGAGGAAGCCCTGTTCAGGCAAGTTTATTACCTCACAGGACATCTGTGTGAATGTGTGAGTATGTGTGCTTGTGTGTGTGTGTGTACACATATGAATACGCATTTGTGCTTGTGGTGAGAACTGTAACACTTTTGGATTGTTACTAATTTATCAGTAACCACTTATAAATATGTGTAGCACTGTACATATGGTATGGTGAATTTCTCTTTATGTGCTGAATATATTAAAATTCTGAAGAAAAATGTACACCATTATTATGAGGAACTACTGGTAACTAATGGCAACTGTCATTTGTGCTAATTTAAAGTTCATAAACAATTCAACAATTTCAAATAATTCTTAAGAGAAACAGACTGAAGTTGATATAAACATAAGTGGATACTGCATATATATAAAGTATATTGTATCATAACTTTACTATTGTTTAGTGAATGTGTATTTGCAACATTTTCCACATAGTGTTCATTTTCAACTCAAACTTATAGACAGGAAGATAACAAGAGAAGAGAAAGGTGATGCACACAATCCTATTGTACTTCCATCTAATCATACAAGGAAGTTTATGAGACTAGATTTTAATAATCTGTTTTTTTTTCAGTTTTAAGTATGCATTTCCTGCACAGAAGATGGCCAACTGAAACATCACCGGAGCAAAGTCTCATGAAATAGCTGGCTGGAAACATCCCTGGCTGTAGGTAAAATTGAATGCCTATTTTGTACTTGAGATTTTAATATTAATTCTGAAATGTTTTTGTTCTATTAGTTGATTTATCTCATTAACACCACTTCATTATCAACTACTCTCTTTTTTATTTGTTTTTAAATAAAGGAAGTGCAGAGTTTGAGAGAGAGCTCGGTGGGCAAAGGCACTTACTGCCAAGCCTGTCGACCTGAGTTCAATCCCTGAAAACCACACAGGGGAAGGAAGTCATGTGTGTAACAAAATGAATAAATGTAGTGTAATAACAGTTCTAAAATAAAAATAAACATGAGGGCATCTACATCCTTGGGGCTTTCTTTCCACCCTCTCTCTAAAAAAGAAGAGAAAGAAGCTCTCTTTTGTAGACATCTGACACTGTCCAGGGGTGAGATGAGAAAATTCACATTCAAATGAGCTTATTTGCATCCTTTAATCTTAAAAATATTTTATTGAGTATTTTGGTAGCTGGGTTTTATATACAACTAAGAACCTATACAGGGATTTTGTTTAATTTTTTAACCAATTATATCATGTTGATATTAATATACCAGGACTCCAAAGTAAAGGCATTGACTATCAAATGTTTCTTTACCAAGCTGAATAAAAATCAATGTTAAAGACAAAATTTCAGATCTATTTTTGTGTGCTTGAAGTTCATTTTCTGATGATGATACGCTTTGCCTGCAAGATGTTATCTTTTAACTCTCACTGACCTTTGCACAAAATGCACAGGTCACTTGATGGCCATGATGGAAGAGGTCAAGTCCTGCCTGTAATTGTGCAAGTCTCTGAAAGCAAGACATGCTCCAGGCCAAGCTGTCAATCAGTTCTCCACTACAGCTATGTCACTATGAGGAGAATTCTCTGCTCCATTGCAGACTTCTTCTTCTTCTTTTTTTTTTTTTTTTTGCTTCACTTTTCCTGTGATGGAATCAATGCCATTGGCAGAAGGAAGACACTTATAAGCTCTGTGGAACCAACTCCTCTTTGAATTTTACACAAAGAAAATATGATTGGGAAGCCAAAAATGAGAAGAAACAGACTTCTATATTTTTTTCTTTTGTTTATAAATCCTTTACTGTGGGTAGGAGCACTGTGTTGGCCTTAAGAAAGGAAGAATGAGAAGTGGCTCTGTGTGTGGGTGGGTGTGTACATGTGTATACTGTGTGTACATGGATGCGTGCGTGCATGCGTGCGTGCGTGCTCGTGTGTGTGTGTGTGTGTGTGTGTGTGTGTGTGTGTGTGTGTGTGTGTGTGTGTGAAGTATTTTGGTCTATGCCATGGTTGGTTTTTTTGTTTGTTTGTTTTTGAGGGGGGAGGTCAGCATATAAACCTGCCTGACATTTAAGCTGTTCACATGCCTGACATACTACTTAGAACATGAGGAATTAAGGCAGATTTCTCTTCCTGTTCATTACTGTATGCAACTGTGTTACCTTTAGGAGGATGAGTTCAGCCAGTGTGGGTACTCCAACTCCCCTTAATACAGAATGGTGTTAAACAGGCTAGGCCAAAGTAGTCTCATGTCTTCTTTCTCTAGTGCTTTTTCTCCATTGATTAGCATCCCAACCCATCCTCCTCCAGCTGCCCGGTCACTTCCCTCACTCTGCTCCCTCCACTCCAGACTGTTTCTCACAGGGCAGATGAGCCTGCCTTTCCTACCTTGTAGCAAGCTGCTCTACAGGCAGTGTCACTTGGTCTCATTAGAGGCCCCAGAATGGACTTAACTCCTCCTTATCCCTGTCTCACTACTATATCCACGGCTACTAGCTTATATCACTTAAAAGTACTCTAATTTGATACTAAGTCATTCTAAAGTCATAATAACTTGGAAAGTAGATTTGATAATGGCGTTATAGCTTTGCAATAAACTGTCTCAAGATTTGAGACACATTTTTAGTGTGGATTCTGTAATACTTTAATTACCAAATAAATAGAGAGATTGAAGTGAGAAGAAAGAAGGACACGAAAGAGGAAATGATGTGAAATGTCTTTCTGTACACTGTGAATATGTGTTGTTCCCACTGGTTAATAAACAAGGCTGCTTTGGCCTATGGCAAGGCAGCTTAGAGTCAAGTAGGAATTCCAAGCAGAGATACAGGTAAAAAAAAAAAAGGGTGGAGTCAGGGCAGATGCCATCCAGCCACCCAAAGAGTAAGATGCCAGCAGACTGGTAATGCCATGGCCATATGACAATACATAGATTAATAATAATGGGCTACTTTAAGTTGTAAGAGCTAGGTAATAATAAGCCTGAGTCATTGGCCAAACAATTATAATTAATATTAAGTCTCTGAATGATTATTTTATAAGCAGCAGAGGGACTGGGCAGGATGCAGAAAAACCTCTGGCTACAAGGAAAGCTGAAAAAATGTGATGAAATCTGTAAAAATGTATTTTAGGGAGGTGAATATAGGGAGAATAATTAAAATGTTCCTTGCTTCACAATATGTCTGAATATTTTTGAAATACAAATTAATAAAAGACAAAATTTATATAATTTATTACAATTTTACATTTGAAAGTAAGCAATTCAAATTCACTAGGAGAAGTTTTGAGAACACATACCAAAGTGTAATATTTATTAAGTGGGTGAGATAAATTGCCAGCAATGTCTATCAAAAGAAATTTGGAGAAGCATATGGGTGTACATTTATATGAGCTATGTTACATTCAAGTGTGACACACCCTTGCTTCAGAGAGGGGTGTTTCATGCCCAACTATAGGACACACACATTGCAAAGATGATTTAAAAAATCAACTTTCTCTGTCTCAATATGAGCAGGTTTGAAATAACGTCCTAACTTATTTGAAATAATGTCAGCAAAATAAGGTGCATTTCTGGCATCACAAATTCCAATTCTGCCCCAAATCTTTCACCAGCCCCTGCCTCTATGGTTCATGTAGCTAAATGTTGTTCCGGTGTTTGCATTATTATTAGGATATTACTTTTGACCATAGAATTGTATAGAGACGGGGGCCTGGATGTAACATCAGCACCCACATTCTCTTTCTTGGCTCTTGTGCAAATATCACTGTTTGCAAACCTAATACACTCTTGCCAACTTCCAGCCAAATTCATATTAAAGAGGCAGTTGAAGCTTAGAGAAGACAGCAGATAGTCACCCTTTGTAAAAATCCTATTTGAAGCCTGAGTGCTCAGAAATGAGACAATCCCGAAAAATGAAACATGACACTGTGGTGATGGCTGGAGACTTCCTAGGCTGTGACTACTTTGTTTGGAGCTTTTCTTCGGTGGAAACAAGATTCTCCGATATACCGGGACTAAAATCCATGTTGTTCCTGCTGAGTATGCTTTCTTCTGATTTGGTCAAGGAGTTCTGTGAGGACTGGTTTGTTTTCACTGTAGAATCAAACATGATAGAAATAGATTCTGCTCATGATATTCTTGGTCTGTTAAGTTACCATCACATTCAAGTCCAGATTGTTGATATGTATGTGTGTGAGCCTGACCTTAGAGTGAAAATTAAGGAAGGTGTACAGAGCTGAGAAATACAGTGATAAAATTTCAGCCATCCATTCATTCTAAATATTCATATTTCTGGCAATTAACTAGCAAGTTTATTTTTTTTTCCTTTTGAATACTGAGCCTGAATGAGATATCTTATTTATTTATTTTTTCGGTGTTACAAGATAGCAAATATTGGCTTGAAAATCCTTTGAGTTTTATTTTATTTTATAATTTAATTTAATTTTACATATTAGCCATGGATTCCCTTGTTCTCCCCCCTCCGCCTTCCCCCCCAGCCCACCCCCCATTTCCATCTCCTCCATGGCAAAGACTCCCCTGAGGATTGAGTTCAAACTGAGTGATTATAATGGTTTTCTTTTTTTTCTTTTTTCTCTCTTTATTTCTTTTTGAGACGGAGTCTCTCTGTATAGACCTGGCTGCCCTGGAATTTGATATGCAGAGTAGATTAGCCTCAAACCCATAGTGATCTACCTACCTCTGCCTCCCAAGTGATGGGATTAAAGATATACGCCTCCAGTCCCATAGACATTGCAAAATTTTAAAGATGGTTAATGTGGTGGTGTGGATAGGTATGAACAGCCATCATTGATTAATGTGTTTGAATGCTTGCCTATAGAGAGTGGCACTATTAAGAGGTGTGACCTTGTTGGAGGAAATGTGTCACTGTGATGGCAGGCTTTAAGGGCTCATATATGCTTCGGCTACAGCCAGTGTGATAGTTTACTTCCTGTTATCTGCGGATCACGATATGGAACTCTTAGCTCCTTCTCCAGCGCTATGTCTGCCTCCCTGCATGCTGCCATACTTCTCGCCATGATGATAATCTACTAAACCTCTGAAACTGTAAGTCAGACTCAATTAACTGTTTTCTCTTGTAAGAGTTGCCATGGTCATGATGTTTCTTCATAGCAATAGAAGCTCCAACCAAGACAGTTAAATAATATATTTTAATACTTAACCAAAATTCTTGGCATAGTTGATGCTCCATCCAATAACAATTATGATAAAATTGTTACAGAAATCTTCAAACTAAATCTATTATTAGCACATATGACCAACAAAATCTGTCAGTTTGTACAGTTTCCAATTGTTGGCTGTGCTATGTAAGTGGAGAACTGAGATATTTAAAAAGATATTTTTATGACTTAGGTATGATAATTGTTTTCTTCTCTAAAAATAAACTTTGTTTATATAACAGTCACAATAGAGCCTTCCCCAAACAAGAAGTGATCCAAAAGAACATCATTAAGGAAACTCAGCAAGGCCTCCAAATTAGAGAGGAATTTGTAAATAGTGAAGCATTACTTAGCTTTATAACAATTATTTTCCCATAGTACATTATATAGGACCTACTAGTTTTTCTCTTAAGAGAAACTACATTCTATATAGAAAGGTCATACCTTTAGCTGGTGTTCCATCTGTCGGGTTGGTAAGATTTTTTATTGCCATAGTGCCTGGCGTCGTGACAGATGATTTTGTTGTAGAATTTTCTGGCAGTGATGGAGTAGGTATATTTTGAACATCTGAAAAAAGATATACTTAAGTTATTTCATTTATATTTATCTTTTCAATCAACAGACTAATATAGTCAACTATAGTAAACTAATATAATTGAGTGTGAATGTATTCTCATCTATCTATTTATCATCAATTATCTATTTATTATTTACATATCTATCACATATATATGTGATGTTTATTGTGATATGATATATATGGTATCATGTATACTATCTTAACCCAATTAGTAGAGATTTTATTTGGGGCCAATTTTCGAGTTGTAATCAATTGATCTTAGTTTAGTACTTGTCCCCCAGGTCCATCTACTTCTCACAATGGTGTGAATTCTTCTAGATGATGGGCAGTTGTCTGTATTTCTAGAGCTACATAATGGCTGAGATGACAAACGAGGAATGAATAATGTTATATTTGAAATTCTGCACTATTTTTTACTATAACTAATTCCACTAGAGAAAATAACCAAATGTGTGTTCTCTGGCAGTAGATATTTTTCTATGTATTTTAATAGCACACTAAAGTCACTCATTACTAAAATGTCAATATTTGCATATACATCCTTGATTATTTTTTCTTTTTCTCTCATATAAAATATTTTTTATTTTGTGTTCTCTATATGTAAAGTATAAATTAATGTGATATATAAACTATTATTTGTCATTTATATAAAATACATTTATAGATCATATAATTTGTAGTTTGTATGTATTTATTACATATACATATATTTATTGTATATCTTATACACATAAATGTTATATTTGTTATAGTTTATGCTTTATGTTTTATTTTTTAAAATATTCACTTTATCATATATGTTTGCAAGTGCAAGAGAGAGACTGAGACCTTACCAAGAAAGACAATAATCTTTAAAGAAATTAAACAATTGTGATAGTTTAAGTCTGGGGCCACCATAAATCCATATTTTCAAATTGCTTATTTCTCTAAATTATGCTTATGCTTGGGAAACCAAGGTTATGGAAATGCAGGAAATGAATTTTAGCCCACTTCTTTTGTAATGATAACCCTTTAACACACGTGAAGGAACTAGGCTATGACAGGCGAAGCAGGGAAGTCAACACTGCTTTATCATGTCTCCAAAGTGAAAAATATAAGGCTCAACTAATGGTCTATGATGAGATTAGTTCCTAACACGATTATAATTTACTAGCATATATATAAGGTTTTGACCCTATATTTTATAGGTCTATTCTCTGGACTTCCCCGTCCCACTCGTGTGTGTGTGTGTGTGTGTGTGTGTGTGTGTGTGTGTGTGTGTGTGTGTGCATATGTCTCTTCCACCAGAATTGTAATTGTTCTTCATTCAGAATAACTGCAGGGCAACAGTCTCTCCACAGAAGTGAGACTGTGGGCACATGGCATAAATGCAGTAAATAAATGTCTGCGTAGAGAAATCAGCCCTCTGAGGAAGGCATTACTCTGTCTTGCCGTGGTTTGTACAGTGTATAGTGTAGGTTATGTAAAGCTGATGGACTTAGAGCAATGAGGACCTGAACTAGATAGGTCCCAGCAGTAAATGTGCATCAGTATGGAATCTCAAATTCACTTTATATTTGAAACTTTCTTTGAGTCAGAGACAAAGTAATATTTGGCACGTCAGGGAAATGCAGTCTCTGATGTCCGGAGGCGGATGTATTTGCTGTTCATTTCACAGCCCTGAGGTGCTCAGAAGTGTTAGCTCTTAGCGCTGACTCTGTTTATGGACCCAGTAAATGGAAAGTGCCTGATGCAACAGGGAGGTGTTTAGCACATACAGAAAAAAGCTGTGTTTTCACAGGCTTTGTGGAAATCAAATCAGAAGCTTTTTCTTCTCTGGAGGTAGATTCCACGCCCTTTGTTTGGCCTGTCCACCTGTGGGATTCAGCAGGGAGCTGACGATGTCCGGATGGGGTGAGGCCCTCCCGCGGCCAGGGATATAGGGTGGGTGTAGCTGTATATCTCTTGTTTAACCTTTCATTTCATGATCCAGTAGGATTTCTAAATTCAATTTGAAGTGGATAAATTATTCAAAGACAAATGGGTATACCACTTAGACTACTAAATTTACTAGTAAATAGCTTGGATGAGCCCCGTATGTAGACTTTGTAAATGGGAACCATCTGAATTTCCAAACACCACCACCATCTCCAGAGATATTTCTTGCCTCACTCCCCTCCTTACTCAACAGACATAGAATGACTGTTTACATAAAAATCATGATCTGATACAGTAAAAGGCTCTGTTACATCCCTTCTGACGTCAACCTCAAGTACCTCTTAGTCTGGTGGGGATCATAACAGCAGTGTACAGCAAACAACAGGCTATCACTGTGGGCTATAAGATTGTGTTCTGCAAATGCTGCTGGTGAAAAAAGCATAAGGATTTGTTTGTTTGTTGTTTATTGAGAAAGGCTTACCCAGCAATGTTAATTCTTTTTAAAAAGTCCTTTGTAGAATAGAAAAAGAAAAAAAGCTGAATGTGCAGGAAGCATCTTAAGTGACTACCTTGGTCAAACCTCAGGATGGAATCCTTTTTGTATCCTAAAGTAACACGACTTTGAATTTTCTTGCTTAGAAAATGAATTTATTAAAGGCTGTTTCCAAAGACCATAGTATCAACTGGTAGAAAATTCAACTTGCTAGCATTTCCACAGTCTTTATTGTAAATGTTAAGGTTTTGTATAGCCATTTCCTCTGAATTGAAACAGTCCCTCCAGGATCAGGGGCAGGGGTGGTGGTGGTCCTGAGCTTAGAGGTAAACATCACATCCCATGTCTGGGAAAGTGGGGTCCTGGAAGATTCCAAAGGAATGAACTGCTGGGAGAGACCTTTGAGCAGCCTAGCTGCTGGGGGCGGGGGCGGGGCGGGGCGGG